TCTGCTCGGCTCAAGGACAACTAGTTCACACGCTTAACTCTTCCGTGTGTGGTTTAAGAGAGTAGAAACCACCTTCACTTATCTACAAAAAACTTTTAAAGTTAAGCTGCATAAGCTACTGATAATGTCAACCTGACAAAATAAATGTCATAAAGAGTCTGTTGTTTTTTAAAATCACCTACGCTCTTCCCAAATATCTTTAAGCTTCGTCGAGGCCAGAATAAAGCCACTCTTCCCAAAACATGTCCGCCATCTGATTGAAAACATATATCTACAGCTACACATTGAGCATCAAAATGAGCAAGGTCACGGTAAACTTACACGATTCTCAGATATCTCCCTTTTCAATTATCACATTCATTTCAAAACGCGCTCCCCCAACAAAACAGCCGGTACGACCACTTTTGACTTCCCATAACAAATCGCCCATTTATTCCAGAAATTTTAAGTCAACTCTACAATAGCGTCAACTTTTCCTTAAAATCTCCCTTCAATTAAACTTCGCGATCTGTCGCAGCCATTCTGAAGACCCACTGAAGGTCAGCCAATCTTCACAAAACCGGTCCACCATCTGATTGAAAACACGTTTGTCCACCGACAGCTACACAGTGAGCATTAAAATGTGCGAGGTCAAGTCGGGTAACCTTTCACGATTCTCAGAAATCTCGCTTGTCAATACCCGTTTACGCATCACATGTAATTGGTCACTAATATGTATTGCATTTCAGTCGCAAGACGACACTGTTTAAGGCGTGTTTGGTACGTGCAGCAAAAGCTCTCCTTTGAAGCCGCTAGTAATGGATATCAAAACCTTGCTTGACAATCTTCATGAAGAAGTTTCCTGTTCTGTGTGTATGACCACATTTACTGAACCAAAACAGCTGCCATATTTTCACAGCTTCTGTCTTTACTGTTTAGCAGGAATTCAAAGAAGCAGTGGCCGCCGTGATGTCATAACGTGTCCTGAGTGTCGCAAGGAAAGTCAAGTCCCTGGAAGAAACCTGCCCACTAACTTTCGCATCAACAGCTTACTAGATGTGTTGACCATAAAGGAGTGCAGTTCTACAGGAGTCAAATGCAGAAACTGCGACAAAAAAAGAGTGCAAAGTTTCTACTGTTTTCAGTGCTGTACATTCTGGTGTGAACAGTGTATCACTGTGCATAACTTACTCCGAGAAAATAAAGAACACCGAGTTCTTGCGCTGAATGACTTTGAGGATCAAGAGATCGAGGATGTCTTAAAGCGACCACCATTTTGTTCGCGACAAGGCCACCAAAAGAAAGAGCTCGAGTTCTTCTGTGTCAAATGTGAAGAGACCGTTTGCTCTTCATGCGTCGTAACCGCACACGATAAACATGTTAGGTACTGTTGGAAGAAGCGGCAAATAAAAAGAAATTGCAAGTTATGTCCACGATTGAGTCCGAAAAGGCAACAGCGCAAAGGATGAGAGACAAAATCTCGAAACTTGACGAAAGCTGTGATAACATCGAAGCAAACGTTGCCAAAGTAAAAAGAAGCGCACAACAGTTTGCAGAAAGCTTGATCGCTGTTATTGAACCCAAGAAACAGGAAATCTTTAATGAAGCAGATCATGAGACGCAACAATTCCTGGAACGTTTGCGAATACAAAGGATCGAAATGGAACAGAGAGTCAGAATAATCTAAACAGCAGTCAAAAAAGCTGAATCGCTTTTAAAACCAAGCACAAATGCAGAGCATGCAAAGAGAGATGAGGCAATGAAGACAATCATTCCGAAAAAAAGCGATGAACAGCGTGAAGAACTAGACTGTGACCTTGAAGATCTGCGTCAATTTATCTTCGACGAAAACGAGGCTTTAAAGGCAAAAACAATTCAAGAAGGGATTGGCCATGTCTTTACCTTTCGACCCAACGAGACCAAAGCGGATCATTCAACGGCGAAAGGAAAAGGACTCACTGAAGCGATTGTTGGAATTGAAGCCAACTTTGTTTTAACAACAAAAAATGCCAAAGGACAGCAGTATTACGAAAAGCGTGACCGAGTAACTGTGGAAATAAAAAATCAGCAAGGCCTTGACGGCGCGACAGAGGTGCAAGTGAAAGATAACTACGATGGAAGCTACAAAGTCAGTTACTTTGCCAAAGAAACTGGAAGATGCCGGGCCGTAGTCAAAGTGAACGAAAGAGAAGCTCGTGGCAGTACTTTCTCAGTTCAAGTTTCACCCAGACAATTCACACCCGTGTTATCTTTTGGACAACAAGGCTCGTCTCTTGGAAGGTTAAGCAAACCCTGGGGAGTGGCAGTGAATGAACGTAATGAAATTGCAGTGACTGACTCGGGTAACTACAGGGTTCAGGTATTTAGTAGTGATGGAACTTACTTAAGATCTTTCAGTAGCAAAGGTAATAAACAGGGAGAGTTCAACTGTCCTACTGGGATAGCTTTTGGTAAAAACAAGAACATTATAGTGGTGGACAATGGTAACCACCGTGTTCAATTGTTCAGTGAGCAGGGTGAGTACCTGAGCCAGTTTGGTGTTAAAGGAACTCTTGATCACCAGCTGTTTTATCCTCACGGCTTATCTATAGAGAACGACGGAAATATAATTATTGCTGATTCATACAACAAATTAATCAAGATCTTTTCTCCTGAAGGCTATTATTTAGGTAAATTCAGGGGTGAGGGTTCTTTAACCTTTCCCTTTCACTGCATACAGTATGAAAAATATCTCATAGTGTCAGACTTTCGTGAACGTTTTATCAAAGTGTTTGATAGAAATGGTAATTTTTTGTACAAATTTGGAAAGAAGGGGGAGGGCGATGGGGAGTTCATTTACCCTCGTTGTTTGTCAGTTAACAAGGCAGGACACCTGATGGTCTGTGAAGTAGGTAATTACAGAGTTCAGGTATTTGATCTTAGTGGAAAGTTCATAACAAAATCTGGATCAAAAGGAGACTTTAAAGGAAAATTTAATAATCCCGTCTCTGTTGCAGTACTTAGCGATGGTCAAGTAGTTGTGTCTGACTTAAGTAACCATCGCATTCAGATATTTGAATAGACTCATCATTATACCTTACAAGATTTAACTTGATTTTATGCAACTTTTAAACATGAAACTACTGTGGACAAGTGATGTATATTCTCAGTAACAATCTTCTGAATGGTCAGTGGAACTACAAAACAACCAATCACATCACAAATTTCAGAGATTGCACATTAACCTTTCAACTCCCAAGATCTGATTGTCAATTCTCCCCTCTGGCTGCTACACATTTCTTTGTGAATTTGTTACGAGAATTTGGTGTTAGATCAAGATAATAACTTCTTCCTGATAACTTTGAGTATTCTCATTACCTGTTTGCTGGATCATGTCTGGATATCATAGGGAGAAGTTACAGGTTTCTGGGAGTCTAAGGGTTACACAAGTGTGATCTGTCAGTCAGCCTGGTCAATAAGCTCTTTTAGATCAATGATTACACAGGTCTTAAAACTTTTGTTTGAAATCAAGTCTAATACGATAACAGAAATACAAAATTCAGTTCCACCAGATCATTAATTATATTTAGAGGTATAGCTTCAAGTAATGTTACATCTAAGATAAAGTAATTTGGAATATTTCCACCATGCTGAGCAAGGAACCTGTTCCTGAGTTAAACGAGCAGAGTGAATGGACTGATTTTTGATATTTAATTTAGTAAAATATTTTTATTGCATATAGAAGTATGCAATATAAAATTGTAAATAATCAAAATGTAAAAATATGTCAATAAAATAGTTGTGATTGTTTTTAAACTTCGCTGTGGAATAAGTGTTTGATAAAAAAAAGAAGAGTGATTCGAAACTTTGTGACTGATTTACGGGCAGTTTACTAAGAGAGGATGCTCAGCCACCGGCTAAAATATGGAATCTGAATAAATAGCTGAATTTACAGGCTGGAAGTAGTGTTTCACCCCTGAGAGATCCAAGCCAACCGGAAGTTCTTTCAGCGCACCCTTGAGAGTTTGTAACGCAACACGCTAATGCTAAACCTCAAAAAGTGATTGATAACCTACGAGGCTGGCAAGTTTATATGCTTTTTAAAACGTTAAACAAATGAGTTGCGAGGTTTGAAACTTTGAAACCCAAGCTCTGCAGTTTTCATCCATTTGATTAAAACAAATCTTTTGGACGAATCGCGAGTGATTGGTCACACGTACGAACAGATTACTCCTCGGGAAAAGGGTATGAGAACTAGTCAGCGACTTGTTCCCGGGTGAAGTGATCTATCAGGAAATCTCAACGCTCGCTAAGTAGATTTGGAATATGGGCTTTAAAGTTTACACACCTCACTTGATAGAACATGGCGAAGTTTATAAATGTGTATGGCTTCACTAATTTACCATTTTACAGTCAACGAAATGAAAGTTTTTAATTGAGCTTGTCCCAAACACGTCCCACACTTTATTCGGCCGTGGCCATTACAAACCTCACAACTGCAATCGAAAAAGGTTTTTAAAAGCTCTTTTTCTTTGGAAGGAATGGAAATGTTGATACCGTAAAAAGATTTATCTACCTCTCTTTAAAATCTACAAGAGCTGTGTCTGACTGATTTTGTTGTAGATACAGTTCAACCTCTCCACAACGGCCACCTTGAGGACAGAAGAAAGTGGCCGTTGTGAAGAAGTGGCCATTGTAGAGAGGTTAAATGAATGTATGGACAGCCCGACATGACCAAAAAAGTGGCCGTTGTGGAAAGGCGGCCATTTAGAGAGGTGGCAGTTTCTTCAGGTCCGACTGTATTGTGAAAACCAAACAAACAAACAAACAAACACGCCAAACCAATGAAAACCAAGACAGCTGTACACTCACGTTTTCCAACCTCTGCCCATGCAGTTAATAGACTGCTCATACTTCTGCATTCCTTCCACGAGAGCAGAACCATTACACCTGAAAAACGAAAAACATAACTAAATAACGTATATAAGAACGATCCTTCGCAGTAAAGCACTATTTGAGCAATAGTGGAAATCAGACCTGAAAAAAATTTCAGGCCTGTACGGGATTCGAACCACTGACCTCTGCGATACTAGTGCAGCGCTCTACCAATTGAGCTAACAAGCCAACTGGGAGCAGGTCATCAAATTAATTCGATATAAACCCGTAGATGATAAATCGAACAACAACAAACATATGAAACATATGAGTGAACTGCGGTTATGAGACGTATATAAGAACGATCCTTCGCAGTAAAGCACTATTTGAGCAATAGTGGAAATCAGACCTGAAAGAAAAATTTCAGGCCTGTACGGGATTCGAACCACTGACCTCTGCGATACTAGTGCAGCGCTCTACCAATTGAGCTAACAAGCCAACTGGGAGCAGGTCATCAAATTAATTCGATATAAACCCGGTAGATGATAAATCGAACAACAACAAACATATGAAACATATGAGTGAACTGCGGTTATGAGACGTATATAAGAACGATCCTTCGCAGTAAAGCACTATTTGAGCAATAGTGGAAATCAGACCTGAAAAAAATTTCAGGCCTGTACGGGATTCGAACCACTGACCTCTGCGATACTAGTGCAGCGCTCTACCAATTGAGCTAACAAGCCAACTGGGAGCAGGTCATCAAATTAATTCGATATAAACCCGTTAGATGATATATCATCTACGGGTTTATATCGAATTAATTTGATGACCTGCTCCCAGTTGGCTTGTTAGCTCAATTGGTAGAGCGCTGCACTAGTATCGCAGAGGTCAGTGGTTGGAATCCCGTACAGGCCTGAAATTTTTTTCAGGTCTGATTTCCACTATTGCTCAAATAGTGCTTTACTGCGAAGGATCGTTCTTATATACGTCTCATAACCGCAGTTCACTCATATGTTTCATATGTTTGTTGTTATAACTAAATAAATCAATAAATCAACTATCTTCGGATTTAACGAAGAAACGAATCCCATATCTTCGGATTTCACGACGAATCAAATCGCCTATCTTCGGATTTCACGGCTAATCAAATTCCAGATCTTCGGATTTCAAAAGAAATCGAGTCCCAAGTCTTCGGATTTTAAAAGAAATCGAGTCCCAGATCTTCAGATTTCACGAGGTCTCCCTGATCTTTGGGTTTCGGATGGTCATCGGAACGCGAAATCTAAGAATTTCCATTTCCAAGATCTACAATTCGATTCTTTCAGCGGTACTCGGATGTTTTTGGTTTCCTTCATGTCCGTGAGCAAACAAATAACATCGTTCTTCATTAAAACGAATATGAAACTAAAGATTTTGACATTAACGTACCCTTCCAGATCCACAACACTTGTAACAGCGCTTGTACCCCCAGCCATGCAATCATAACACGGCTGGAAAGAAAAATGAAATGAAACAACATGAATACAGGATCAGAAAAAAGCGAAACTCATTTCATAACAAATTGTCCATGCTGAATAAACTGACAGTTACGGAACTCTCCCATATTTGACCCTGGGAGCATGTTAGCCTAAAGAGTTAAATTCATCTGATGGATGGGACTTCATCTGATGGGACTTGAAGTTCTGCAGTCAAGCATCGCCAGAGGCTCCCTATTTTTCGCATTGCTGACCAAGCATGTGATCAAGATGGCTGGATATTGGTCAAGTTCGTTTGGTGTTTGCATGCATAGCCCGCTTAAAACTTGTAATATTTTGCCTTTTTTTCCCTTCCTTTTTAGCGCAAATCATCCCAATTCAATTCATGTTCATTTCTGGAGGAGAGGGGAGGAGGGTGAGGCTAGCTATACAGTAAGTTGTATTCTTAGCTTTTGCACCCTAAGATCAATATGCATATTCTCCATTCTGTTCTCTGTACATTTCCTGAGGCGCTGACGAGGAGATTTGTTTAACAATCAAGAGCGTTTTTGGTTGGTGTTCATTTCCTTTATTCTCCTGACCTTTATATGTGATTCAGGTTTGATATTGTAAGGAGAAATAAGATGTTAGTCACTCTAAGGGGTAAAAAGGTTAAAGAAGGGCACTGTCACCTAACAAAAAAATAATGTACATACCTGGATGGTTGTGGTGTGAGGAACTTGAATATTGGTTGTAAAGTCATTAAACAACTGACGGAACTGGGCAGGAATGCTCCATGGAGGTGGGGCAGGTCCATTAACAGTTCTGTCTAGTGGCTGACCTTAAAATTAAAAGACAGTATCCATTTATTAATTCACTTGCGTAATTCAGGCAGGCTGGCTTAGTCTAGCATTCGAGCTGGTTTGAATGGGGTGCCTGTATAACAAGGTCAGAACACACCTCTTGGAGTTATCTCCCCTGCTCTTTGCAAGAATTATGAGAGTTCTCTAATGTCCTCAACTAACCATCACAGAGACTGATGCGACTGGAGACAAGACCTACAGTTTATCGTCCTTATCCCAGAAGTACGGTGGCCCATAGGGGACATGACACATTTTTTTTTAATCGCGCGATAAATGATAGATTATCGCGCGATAAATGGAAATTATTGCGCGATAAATGAAAAATTATCGCGCGATAAATGAAGATTATCGCGCAATAAATGGAAATTATCGCGCGATAAATGGAAATTATCGCCCGATAATTGGAAATTATCGCGCGATAAATGGAAATCATCGCGCGATAAATGGAAATTATCGCGCGATAAATGGAAATTATCGCGCGATAATTTATCATTTATCACGTGATAAATGGAAACTTGTCAGGTTACGTAATCGGCTGTCATGCATGTTGTTTCCGTGGACGACACTGACTGCCACAGTTGAGGAGCTATGTTTTGAAGTCGATAGTTCGTTTTATTCATGTAAAAAGATCATTTAGCAGTACGTTGTAATACTACGACACATAGCTTTTTGAATCAGTATAGTAAACCTTGATTTTGCGACGTCCGAGCCCGTGGAAATTTTGTATTATTTATTTATATTTTGTGATAACTTTTTGATGATTGCATGACTTACACTGTCACGGCTGTGTTACACTAAAACCTTGAAATAAACTTTGCTATAACATCACATTGAGGTCAGGAGAATAAAGGAAATGATTACCAACTAAAAAAGCTCTTGATTGTTAAACAAATAATCCTTTTCAGCACCTTAAGAAATGTATAGAGAACAGTATGGAGAATATGCATACTGATAATAGGGTGCAAAGGTTTAAGAATACAGCTTATTATATAGCCCCACCCCCTTCCTTTCCTTCTTCTCCATGATGTACATTAATTGAATTAGGATGATTCGCGCAAAAAGAGAAGGAAAAA